TTTTAGTCTTATTTCTTAGAATTTCGCGATGACTGTCGCTCCTAAAAATTTTGAGCTAAGAAATCTGGAAACTAGACATTCGGCGCTTTAAAATGCTTTTTTTAAAACCTTGATACGATCATTTTTAACTGAGATACAGCATTCTGAAAAATCACTAAAAATTCGAAAAATTTTTTTGCTCCCTTAATTTTTTGCAGAAGTGTATATATATAATAATATTAATAACAATAATAATAATTAATAATTATTATTATTAATAATAATATTTTCTCTGTTTATTGGCTTATTGTTCTACTTATGTTTCTTAAATTTATTTATCTAATAATTATATATTTATCTTCCTTTTCAGTGGCCTGAATTGATTTAGTGATTGGAAAGTGCACCCAAAAAAAAAAGGTTTAACACGAGCTCACATTTACCCACCACAACGGAGAGCCCCAGGCAATCGGGGCCACAAGCTCGTGTTTCGGAGAAGGACAGTGCTCCTTCTACCAAGCGACGCTGGGTCCCACCTTCTACTCTAAGACATCAGGATGCGCTCACACCTGAATCTCGCAACGATCTCATATTCCGCAAAGTTCGGGGTATTCTCAATAAACTCACTCCAGAAAAATTTAAGAAATTGAGTGATGATTTGTTACGAATTGAACTACAATCCAAGGTAATTTTGAGAGGAGTTATTATTCTCATATTTGAGAAAGCTCTTGACGAACCCAAATACTCATCTATGTATGCACAGTTGTGCAAACGATTGTCTGAAGAAGCTCCTAATTTTGAAACTTCAGATCAACCGTGTACATTTCGTCTCTTGTTACTCAACAAGTGTAAAGTTGAATTTGAAAATAGAGCAGCTGCAATTGAAAACAATGGGATTGGAGGCTGCCAAACAGAAGAGGAGGAGGAGCGTCGGCAGCTCGCTAAGAGAAAAATGCTTGGAAACATCAAGTTTATTGGAGAACTGGGAAAGTTGGAAATTGTCTCAGAAGGAATTCTTCATCGTTGCATTAAGGAGTTGTTGGTACGACATGGCGATGATCCATCGGAGGACCTCGAATGTCTTTGCCAAATTATGCGTACTTGTGGCCGCATCTTGGATTCTGACAAGGGTAATTTTGCTAAACGTTAACATTTAAAGTAAGATTAAATAGTAAATAAATATTTTTTATAGGCAAAAATCTCATGAACCAATATTTTGAAAGGATGAAAATGTTAGCTGAAAATCAAGATTTACAACCGAGAATAAGATTCATGTTAAAAGATGTTATAGATTTACGACAAGACGGATGGGTTCCAAGAAAAGCCACCGTTATTGAAGGACCCATGCCCATAAATCAAATTAGACCTGTGGACGATGAGAGACCAGGATATCGTAAAGATCGCAGCCATCATGATCGTGAAAACGAGAGAGCCAGTAATTTGTCAGAATTATTCCGACATCCTATGAAAACAAGAGGTGGTTTAGACGACATGTTAATGGGTAATATATAATTTTTTTTTAATTAACCGGAATTTTCTAAAATAAAATAAAACTAATTATAAAGGGAGGTACATTACATATGCCTCAAGTCTATATGTTGAAAAAGGAGGGTGAAACGCTGGCCAAAATTTGTACATTAAAATACTTACTTTCTTAACCAATTCCTTAAATATTATTCAAAAAGTATAGAGAGATCAGGATGATGTGATACATGTGACGTAATAATAATTTTTTAATACTCAAATATTACTCGGTATCTGTGGGGTTCCCCCTTTTGAAAAATTGAACTAAGCTAAGATTTTGAAAAAAAAATATGGATATAAACCGTACCACTTTAAAAATATTTTTCATTGCAACACGTGCTGTTATATAGAAAACTTAAATTTGAGTAACTTCTGGAAAGCCCATAAGTTATATTTAACTGTTTTTATATTAAAATGTCCAACTCGATGAACAATGCATTTATTTACCTTAAATTTCAAACATAGTGGTAACAAAATGTGTACAAAGGATATGTAACGATGTCATAGTACCCAGCAGTAATATTTGACCTTTTATCTAACAATATAAAGACAATATTACCTCATTTTTTTTCTTTTTTAATTCATAGGTATCAGTTTAACACCTTCAACACACAACTTAATTCCTACTAGTCCATTTGGTGGTCACAATGGCTTTGGAAATCAAAGGGATGTACCATTTCGTGGTCACAACAATCAACGCACTGGGTATAATAATTACACTGTGAGTCAGAGAGGTCAATACAAGCACAATCAAAATAGTTCCAACTCACAATTTAATCGTAAGTTTGTTAACCATATTTATGTATTTAATTTGAGACATCAAAATATTTTAGAATCTAACAAAGATGTGGCACCCCGATTTAAGAAAAATAACCTTATAGTAGCAAAGGACGAAATAGCAGATGTTGAACTTAGACCTAATTCGATGCTTTTCAATAAGGCATCATCAGTGAAAGCTAACAATGTCATGAACAGCCGGACAGTAGAACCATCTTTTACTCCAACTAGTATAAAACAACCTCCTAGTACTTTGCTCAAGGAACCTCTTCCAATAAAACAAGTGCCCGCTGATAAGCCAAAGCAGTCAAAAAAGGATAAGGTTAGTGTCACCACCAGTTTAAAGGAATATACTAAAATGTTTATATTGTCCATATTACACAAATTATAAAGGGTGGTCGGAATTTTATGCAGAAAACTTCGAGGGCATATAGATCTCATTAAAATAATAGGTGTTTGCCGTATAAAAACAGGTCTGGAACGGCCCCGTTTTAGAGATAAAGTGTTGAAGTTGTAAAAAAAAATTCATTTTTTGTTTGTATCTCAATACAATTTGGTACATATAATATATGATAATAGGCCTTGCATTTCCTAAAATATGAGCTCTAAAGGTTCAACCAGTGGTGTACAATAGGATAGGGGTCATCCCCTTTTTTTTATAAAAAAACCTACGCCACTGCATTTTTTTTACAAGTTATAACGGATTTATATTCTAATGCACAAAATATGTAAAAAAGGTAACTTTAATTTTTTGCCTAAGATTCGCCATTTTCAAGTTATTCATACGAAAACGGGGACGTTCAAGGTTTATGTTTACAGGGTGTAAGAAGTTTGACTGCCATTACTTCAACATGAGATAGAGTAATCATAAATGAATAAAAAAGTTGTATATTACAGGGGCGTAAGATTAACAGTTTTCAAAATACAGCGAGTATTAACATTGGGGAGTTTCATCACAACGTGACAACAGCGCTTAACTTAAATTTACTAAATTTCAAGACAATTGTTTTCCAGTTTTTAAATAAATAAAATAAAATGTATCGATTTTGTAATACGAATATACTGTTTTGCTTAAATTTTAGCTCGAATTTTAGTAATTATAAATCTCTTAAAACAGGAACTTAACTTTTAATCAAATTATATATTTGAAAAGTGTGTAATTAAAGTACCCAAAGATTCACATCGTCCAAATAATCATACATATTAAAAATATAATTTAGATACCAACTGAATTGCATATTGGTGGTTGCTGGACACCTTAGTACTGTTGCGGACCGGGATTGATTGCGAGTTATTGCAAATATAGGAAGGTAAATATAAAAAAAAAAATCGAGAACATGAGACGATCAACAGCAGATGACAGGATTGACAGCGGAGAGTAGAGTTGTCGAATTTTGGTTGTCACACCGCGTTATTTGCAATTAATTGGGAAGAAAACGTAAAAGAAGAGCGGGAATTAGTTGCAGATCGTGAACTGCATCGTGTGGAAATCGAAACTAATGACCAAGAGACTCTATCGCGCGATACCAGGTGTAAAAACTTACTTGACCACGAGTCCTCTTGCAAACAAGTAATAAGACAGTGTAATTACCTGTAATATACATCTTGTGGAGACTTGTGTCTTTTCTTGGGATCCATCATCAGTGGTTCCTAATAGTAGTGGGTTTTGTCAATAAACTAATAGTACGATGGTAATAGTTAGTGAGGAAAGACTTTTAATAGAGCTAGAGATTTGTAAGCAGTGCATGCATAGAACTATAGACAAAATAAACCGTAAGTCGTAAAGCAATAATCTCGTTAGGTAAAAGTTATATACAGGGTGATACTGTTTACACGAATTCTAAGACAATCTCAATTGTGCAATATATTATCGCCTCAAGGGAATACGTAGGCGCTTATGCGCCCCGCCCAGCGATGGATGTAGAGGAAGAGAGACTCCAGGGTCCCTATTCTTGACGCTAGTAACAACACTAAACTGAAACACGATACCGCCATTATTCCATGGCTAGAAATTGGCCTCAATGATTTGGGATCGAGGGGGATTATCCCTCCTTATCCTGCCTCATCTCATGTAGGCCTGGACAGCCTTCGTAGGTGGGCCCCATCCGTCGTCTACCCCGACCGCAAATGCGGCCGGTGTAGGCGCTTTGTGGGACCTCCTTTTGTCCTGGCTGGGCCCCGCCGGCTAGGGCCNCTGCCTCATCTCGTGTAGGCCTGGACAGCCTTCGTAGGTGGGCCCCATCCGTCGTCTACCCCGACCGCAAATGCGGCCGGTGTAGGCGCTTTGTGGGACATCCTTTTGTCCTGGCTGGGCCCCGCCGGCTAGGGCCCTTTCTTCTGGCGCTCTTCCTGCCGACGCTAGTAGAATAGCACAGTAAAGAGAAAGTGGGCGTGGTTCTCTCAAGAATTTAAAACCCATATTCTTGAACTATGTTCTATTGAAAAGCAAGAGAATAAAATGCTGCCTAGGGAACAAATGTATCTCTTCCACATTTGTGAGAGAATGCAACAAGGGAGCTTAATTCTAACTACAGAAAAAGGATTCTAACCTGAAAATTGTGTTAATTACTTGTCATCAAAAAATGGATTTAAATGAATTACTAATTTGGAATAATATTCAACAAGATCTTCAAGATGCTGAAGAAGACCTAACAATAGGTAGAGAAGTCACTTCTACAGAATCACTAGAAGGCGTCTTCAGTCAGTCGGATGGACAACCTGGAATCAATATTGACAGTTATTGGACAGATTTGACTAGAGAACGACCTCAACTGGAATTGAGGTTTTCAACTGACGGAGACTTACTAGTAAACCGCGGAGCAGTAGCGCCGGAAGGTTCCCTGGCGCCTCAACGACGATCAGGCGTGCTCACGAAGTCACGAAGGCGCGCGGGCGGGAACAGTACCTCGTGTTAATAAACCGTCGCGTCATTGCTCGATATGAATTTTATTGAATTTTAAATTTATTACCATGGTAATTATTTTTTAGAATTAGGCATAAAGAAGTTCAATAAAGTGATAAACATTGTATTTTATAGTGTTCTTTGCACGCAGTAATGTCAATATACTTTAATTAATCAAACTTTTGTACATTAAGTTGGAGATTTTGATAAATTTCTTCTCGGAAATGGTTGAGTTTAGGACCAATGTCATATAAGGTTTTTTTGTTTATTTTAATGTATTCTATCGTCTGTTAAAATTAATGCAGTCAAACTTCTAACACTCTGTATAAAGCAAACACATTATTTTAAAGAGATCTATCTGCCCTCAAAGTTTCCTGCATAAAATTCGTACACCCTGTATAATTGTCTCCTGATATTTTCAGATAATACATAAAAAAATAGGAATACTTTTTGTATGAACTTGTTTTCAAACAGGGTAATAAGAAAGATTTCTTAAGTAGAGGTAAAAAATTCAGGGGCATATTCTGTCGTCAAAAATAAGGGTTTTTTGTTATATAAATGTGGGGTCTTAGGCCAGCCATTGTCCAGCTGCAGCGTGTTAAAAATTAAAAAATGATGTTTTTAATTTTTAATTTCTAAACCGTTTGAGACAATTTAACCAAATTCGCTGTGCATTTTAGTATTATATTTAGATTTATTTTATTTTATATTTACAAAAAATTACCAGCTTTAGAAAATACCAGTTGGCGGAGGTGTGGGTATCATCGATCGTTATTTGCCAAAAAAAAAAAATCGCCCTTTATTATCTTTACTTTTTGCTTCTTTACACTTTTTTGTATTTCAAACCGATTAACAACAAAATTCATTTATTTGATCAAGTGCATTATTACAGTTACTAAAATTATTTAAACATATCTTAGGGGGACCATGCAAAACAATAATAATAAGAAGTCCTCTTATGTAATATTGTGTATTGTCAAATTAATAGCCCAGTTACTGTAGCTGAAAATATAGTAATACCTTCGAATTTTTTATAACTGCATCGATTTTTCTCAAAACTTAGAATTAGGCTCATCTTACCCCCCACTTCAAAACTTATATATGTGCTAGTTGTGCTTTTTGTTCTTAAGGGGTGAAAACCACCCCCTATTGGAAAAAATACAAATTTAAGCATTTTATGTAATCAAATCTTTTTTATTTATGCAGTATGAGTAATTTCATGTGCTATCTAACATGAAACTTAATGTATTCCAAATTTTCAACCCGGAAAAACCTTTAAAAACCATCCCTTTGGATGAAAATAATATAAAATATTTTTTTTCAACTTGAAACGTTTTAATCATGAATTTTTATCAAATTAAAATTGATTTCTTGATTAAAAAATCTTTTTTATAGATTGCAACTTTTCAACCCTTGAAAAATACCCCTTGTTTCGAAAATAAATTGAAAAAATATTATTGAAAGAGTAGAAACATTTTAAATGTGCATTCGTATTAAATAAACATTTATTCCCTTCTTATAAAATAATTTTGAATTGTTTGCAACTTTTTAACCCTTAAAAATTATCATGTGGCATCCATAATGTTAAAATTGCGGTAACACCGACATCCGCGGTAAAGCGGCTTCCAATATACGGATGCCACTTTGCGGAGCATAGACGAAAAATTCCGAGTTGACTAGATGACTCTTGATGTTATAATATGAAAATTTAGTGGGTGCCAAACTGATTGATTTTTTAATGAACCTATACACCATAGTGCTTGGTGTATATTGTTAGATGGCGCAAGAATAGTAATCAGTTTATTACACTTCATTCAAGTTGCGGAGAATGTGTTTTTAAATTTTCTTTAATCAAGTATACATCTAATTTCTTTAGGAAGAGCATTGTATAAAATTACACAATTATGACATGAAGATTTTTTAAAAGCACTTGTATGGTGAGAAGGAATACTCAACAACTCACCATGTCTGGTCATATAGTTATGAAAATATGTCCGTTTATTAAAAAGACTTAGATTATTTTTTGCAAAAATTAGGCATCTTAAGATGTAAATTGAGGGTGTTGTGAGAATTTGCTTATCCTTAAACACACTCCTACAACTCTCATTCACCTTCAAGTTGAAAAGTAGTCTAATAATTCTTTTTTGACACATGAAAACTCTTTCTTGCTTATTTATGTTAAGCAGTATTTAGTTGTCAGCATTTTGATATATACATATACTATGAATTATGTACCTGTGGTGAATTAATTTGTCACTCACACAAATTGCTATCCTAATAAATAATTTAAATGTATAATGTATTTTCAAAAGGAGTAGCATAAATACTATCAGTAAATCTACAGCTAAAAATACTACGTTTTGCTTAAAAATTACCGTCATAAAATGCCCACCCCTTAGAAGTTACAACCACTGAAAGTTAAATATGGTAAAATGTCTGTTAACCCATTTGAAAGCTGGGCACTTCTCTCAGTTTCATTTGTTGTCCGATTTAAAAGATTTGTTTTAATGATAGAGCTTCAATAACTACTATGCTGCCAAATTTCATAATAAAATTTAAAATTTCAAGGCCTACTTCAAAGTTTTTTCAAGCGCAAAGATACAAAAAAAAGATTAGTGATTTTTTTTTATTTCATCACTTTTCGTGTCCCATTAGATTTGGGATACTTACAAATAGTAATGACCGAAATTAAAATATATGTTGGTTTCTAACAGAACTATATTATAATTAAAATTTACATTATGTTATCAACGTAATAGTCATGTGAATCAGAACTTTATTAATAATTTTTGTAATTTATGAGGACAACTAAAACCAAATAATTTGAGGGGAATAATAAATTGGAATCTAATAAATAATATACGCACTTTTATTACATCAAATAGCAAACTACATTACAAATAAAAATGTCCCAATTTTATAACCAAAAATTATAAAATTTAAGGTGCGCTTGATTTCAACATCAGTTTTCTTTGAATGTATCGGTGGGTATTACTGGAAATTTTACCAAGAACTTTAGCCGGTGCTTTCTACATACATTTTCTTGAAAACGTTTTACCTGAACTACTTGACGATGTTCCCTATGTGCTAAAAGAAAGAATGTGGTTTATGCACGACGGGGTTCCCCCAGATTTTAGTTTGACTACTCATGAATTTTTAAATGAAATATCCGGTGACAACGTGATTGAACGAGGCACTCAAGAATCAGGTCAACCTTGACCACCCAGATCACCCGATATGAACCCTACTAATTTTTTTGTTTGGGGACATCTCAAGACATTAGTTTACAAGGTTCCAATTGAATCTGAGGATTATAATTATAGCTGGTTGTGATATGATAAGAGCTACTCCTGGATTTTTGCACGTGTTCGAGCTGCAATTTCAAGATCTGAAGCATGTATTTTGGCTGAAGGTGGTCATGTCCAACATTTGTTATAATAGATCATAGTAAAGTAAATCCATTGTTAATTAATTATTTTGTTATTATTTTTATGCAATGCTTATTGTAAAAATTCACTTGATCAAATAAATCAATTTTGTTGTTAATCCGTTTGGAATACAAAATAGTGTAAAGAAACAAAAAGTGAAGATAATATAATGGCGCATGACCTATTTTATTTGTAATAGTATACAGGTTTATATATATATTTTTTTTTTATGATACCCACACCTCTGCCACTGGTAAGTTTCTAAAGTTGGTAATTTTCTGTTTCATACCTACTGTCATGCTAAATATGCACACCAAATTTGGTTCAAGCGGTTTAGAAATTAAAAATTCAAAACTGATTTTTTTTTTAATTTTTGACACGCTGGACTATGGTTGTCCTAAGATCCCACATTTATGTAACAAAAAACCCTTATTTTGGCCAAAGAATACGCCCCTGGATTTTTGACCTCTACTTAAGAAACACCCTGTATATTCCTTACATCATGAAACAAAAATCACTCATTTGTTTCATGATGTTTTTACAATATGTGGTTACTTTTTTCATGTTTTTAGAAGTATTGTTCTACAGAACTGTATGTTTTTAGAAGTATTGTTCTATAGATACTGTTCTTAGAAATCAAATTTTTTTTCATTACTTTATCTTTTCTTTAGTGTATCGGGTGGTTTTCAAGGGTCATTGCGAACCTGTCATAGATACAGCAAATCTAATAGACGAGTTCAGAGCTCTTTTTTCGAGAAAACAACAGTGGCGCAAACCACATTTCTATCTGTTACCGTTTTTGAGTTACAAGGCGTTTCTCGATGTTTGGCTAAATCGACTTGTGCTCTTTTCTCGTTTTCCTTTCAAGATATTTTAAAGCGGTTTGATCATTCTAGAGACACTTTTTTGAGATACATTCGATGGCATAAAAAAATGTGATAATATTTTTAGTTTTTGTGATATTATTACAACTTGTGTTTCTTTTATATGGAACACCCTGTATTTTATTCAAAAAAGGAAAGAGGGCTAAAAATGCATTCGAAAAATATATATTTTAGTTATTTTTTGTGTAGATTTGTGGAAAATATTAAATTTTCAAAATATCAACGATATTTTAGTTTTCTGACCCAGAAGGCTTTGTAAACAAACACGTTTGATGTTTAACATTATTAGAAGCATAGATCTAAGATAGGTGCGTTTTTTTGGACTGATTCCGGAATTGAATTATGCAGAATGGGTATTTTATTGCAAGGATATTCTGACTCCAGTTGCAACTTTTGTTTCTGTAGTTTAAGTCCGAATTATTAGAATTAAGTGGTGAGGAGACCAAATTTGTGAGATTATTTACGTGTAACTGTTACCATTATATGTTTTGTGACTTACTTTTCAGGGTGCTTAAGGACTTTAAGTTTAACAAAATACACCTGTTTATATTACAAAAGTACAGGTAGCAAGTAGCTGGTGTAGCATTGGCCTGTTGACATTCGGCATCTGTCAAATGTCAGATTTGATTCGAATCGTTTTATTGATAAATGTCATTCTAAAGATTCTAATTAATCCGGGATCGATCCAACAAAATGCACCT